TACTTCGTGAGTGTTTCAAAGTTTTCCTCATAAAGGTTATCCATATATTTTAAATTTTTGTAAGTATTGTGAATGAGATCTTTCCCTTCATATTTTATTGTTAAATGTATATTCAAAGGTTATTGTTGTTTGTATTTTGATTTTGATATAAAATCAAATTTTTGACTTTATAAATTTTCTTTCTAAATTTTGTTGCCATTTATAATATTTAAACCTTTGAGTTTTCCAATTAGACAGGCATATCCTTTGGAAATAGAGTTTTACCTGTAATTCTTCTACCTCTGATTTTTTTTCCTGATTTTTAAATTGTGTTGACTAATAACTCTAATACTACATCATTAATAGTAGTGGTAATGTTAGGCAAACTGCCTTTTTGGTAAGATAATATATACTTTATCATTTAGGGAAGTATCATTACTGTTTCATTGAGCTTTTTTAAAAAAATCAGGAACATGAGGCAGGAGGATTGCTTGAGCCCACGAGTTAGAGGCGGCAGTGAGCTGTAATTGCACTGCTGCACTCCAGCCTGGGTGACAGAGGGAGACGCTGTTTCTTGGGAAAACAAATTCAGGAACAGTTCTGGTCTTTTTTTAGTTACCTTTTCAGCATCTATGGAATTGATTGTGTGATTTTTTTTTTTCTCCTTCACTGTGTTGATATGTTGAATTGTCTTAATAGATTTCCCCATATTGAACCATTAAACATTCTTCTTCTTCTTTTTTTTTTTTTTGAGACGGAGTTTTGCTTTTGTTGCCCTGGCTGGAGTGCAGTGGCGCAATCTTGGCTCACTGCAACCTCTGCCTCCTGGGTTCAAGCGATTCTTCTTCCAAGTAGCTCCGGGTAGCTGGGACTCAGCTCCTCCCAAGTAGCTGGGACTACAAGCGTGCGCCACCACACCCTGCTAACTTTTGTATTTTTAATAAAGACAGGGTTTCACCATATTGGCCAGGCAGGTCTCGAACTCCTGACCTCGTGATCCACCCACCTTGGCCTCCCAAAGTGTTGGGATTACAGGTGTGAGCCACTGCGCCCGGCCTAAAACATTCTTGTAATGAACACCCCTTGGGTCTTTCAGTGTGCTGTTTTATTAGATATTTAGAATTTTTTCCTCAGTGTTTAGAAAATTGGTGTGTAGTTGTCTTTTTGTGAGTGATCTTTATTTCAGTATCACTTTATGAAAACAGTTTGGAAGTCCTGATACTTCTTAGTTGAAAAAGAATTTTGATAGCCTGTCTTTAAGCTTAAGTAAGTTTTGTAAAGCTTTATTTTTGACAAAAGGGATGGTAAGTCTGACCACATTCTCTATTTGCTCTATGGGAATTGATCTATATAAACATTTTATTAATATCTGTCTCTTCCATGGTCAGTTTTGTTAAATTATATTTTTCTAAAAAATTATACATTTTAAGCTGGGCACGGTGGCTCATGCCTGTAATCCCAGCACTTTGGGAGGCTGAGGTGGGTAGATCATGAGGTCAGGAGTTCAAGACCAGCCTGGCTAAGATGGTGAAACCCCGTCTCTACTAAAAATACAAAAATTAGCCGGGTGCGGTGGCATGTGCTTGTAATCGCAGCTACTTGGGAGGCTGAGGCAGCAGAATTGTTTGAAGGCAGTGGGACGGGGTGGGGGTCGGCGGGCAGAGGTGGAGGTTGCAGTGAACAGTGATCACGCCACTGAACTCTAGCCTGGGTGACAGACTGAGACTCCGTTCAAAAACCAAAAAACAAAAAACAAAAAAAACCAACAACAAATTATCCATTTTAGCTATGTTTTCAAATTTATTAGCATAGTCGTCTGTCCTCTGTATTCATGATCATTTTCACTTTGTTCTTATTTCTAGGTCTGTACTTTCTTGCTGTTTTCAATATCTTAACCATGGTTTATATTTTGTTGATTAAAAAACTGGTTTATGAGGCCAGGCACGGTGGCTCACGCCTGTAATCCCTGCACTTTGGGAGGCCAAGA